ACATTTTCTTTTGTTTTGCTTATCGAAATAACAAAAGCGTATTTTATTTTATCATCCTCGATTATTCGAAATTACAGAGACAACTATTAATATCTCTTAAACCTTTCGATTTTTTAATTTCCCGCTTTTCAGAATGTTTTTTACAATATTCAGTATATTTTCTACCATAGATTCGGTAATTCGGTACGTCAATTGCGGTAACACTGAAGGCTTAATCGCGTCTGTGAATACCCTATTGTTATTATTCTCGTTTTATGACCTTTATATTGTGTACCTGTAAACATTGTAAATTGCGAGTATAGAAAATTTGCGGTTTTTGTTTTATTAAAATACAGGAAAGGGAAAACATACTTAAGGTACCATTTCGGAAGGCGCAACAGACGAGATACGACAGCAGACGCGACGACAGACGAGACGGCAAAGGAGACAAGAGCGGTCTCTTCACGTCTGAACACATGCAATTATATGCAACACATTTCGTAAGGCGCGACACGTACGAGAGACAGAAGTCGACGACAAATAGATCGGTCTCGGGGTAGCGTTTTCTGCCTGTCTCGCTTAGTCATCGCTTGTATTTTTAGCCAATAGGCTTCAGTGTTATTCGGAGACACATAGTCAGACGAGCCCAGGAGAGAAAAAAAAAAACAAACCGAGTTTTATTGTGAGTTAATTACCCATATTCGCCTAAGTTATCTACTTCTTCTTTTTCCGATACATCAAAAGTAAAATGCATGGCGAGCATTTTTCATCGCTGAAGCAGTTTATTCACTTGCTTCCCTACTAGGGCTACTTTTGTCTTTTTTTGCTCGATCTTAATAAAGTATTTAAAAAGTACCTACATAGTACTAAATCTTGTACGATAGTGCGGAATCCTTCATACGCGAATCCGACTCCCACTTGGCCGGTTTTTTTTGCGGTGTTCTCACTACCTAGAACGGATATGAAATATATTCGTTCGGATGAACGCCTTAGCCTACTGTTTCGTTTTGTAGTCTGTGGTAATATCCATGTGAGTGTCGAAAAAAGCGTTATAAACATCGTTTTTATCGATTGTAAAACTCTATAGGCCTAGATCCTAGATAATTGACCTCTTTTTCCTATACTATATCCATCCCGTTTATTTTGACGGTTCTAAGATAGAGTTCTCATTTTCTTCTGAGATGGTGTTGTGAGGTGTTACTTAATACAAATCCCACCAAACCAATACTAGTAGCCTTTTAAAGACCAGAGTCTGTTCTGGTCTTCTTTGGAATGTATCACAGAATATTTTCAAACTTGCCGTTCGCAAATACATAACTTTAACAGGGAATGCCTAGGCCAGTCAAGCCAGCAAAGAAGTTAATCTGTGACGATATAACTCCTTCTTTTTTACCGCCTCTGGTTTCGTAGATGGAGATGTTATCTTATCCTATCTGTGTATCTGCCCTTCTCGTTTGTAGTAGCTGTACCATCCACCTGGAGGTGGTACTATCTATTTCTCTGTATTCAAGTGCTTTTTTGACATATTTAAGCGGCGTGTTGTCAAACGCTCTTTCTATTTCTAAGAAGTTACAAACTACCGCTTTTTTTTGCCAGTGCATCATCCCATTATAGTTGATCTGCCTGCTTGGTATGGTGCTGGTTATGATGAAGTGGCAATATTTTCTAAATTTTTGGTTCTGATATAATTATTATAGTACAGGATACGAAGTAAGGTCGACCTTCACCCATCTGCTTGATGGATGAAAGGTATTTTTTTTTATACTGGCAAGGCTATTTTTTACTACTTTTTCTGTATGCAGCAGTTGGATTTTCATCTTTCAATACAGCATATACCGAGACGCCTCTCTTCGTTCGACAGACTGCGATTCTTATGTAATGTCTCTCTTTATTCAACACGTAACGTGTCGAGTTCGCACATAAGAATCCCCATGCAGATAAGGAAAGTATAGGAAGCATGATAAAAATTACTTGTCATGTCATTCTCTCTAATTTTGGCCCCATACATGATTTCCCTAAAATGAACCGTATTCGAGATATTTGAGAAAAAGTGCAAATTTCGAATTTTGAAGATAACTTAAAAATGAATAAAGAGAAAAACATCAAATTTTATACTTAAGCTCTAATATATCCAGCGGTGAGCTGATTTTAGGCATAGTCGAAGCATCTGGGGGATACTTTATAGCAGGCCTGCACAACTGAGATTTTCAGAGGGCCAGTTCAAAAATTAAAAAACCGTAAGTGTACGTGGGTCAGAGGTGGTCTGTTTAGATTCTAAAAAAAATTATAATTTTATAAACCAAGTCCTTCTGTCGAGTTTCTGAAAAAAAAAAAAAAAAAAAAAATGAACCAGGTCCTTCGTCCTTCTATCGAGCTCCTAAAAAAGGCAATTAATACCTAACTGCAATTTTGTTACTGTAAAATGTATAGTTTGACTTAGGCAGGCCAAACTGGTCAACGGACAAAGGGTCAAGAAAACGACAATGGCGGGCCGTATATCGTGCAGGCCTGTTTTATAGGGTGTAGTTTTTTTTTTACTTTAAGAAAATAAATAGTCTTGACAGTATTTTCTTAACACATTTGCGGTATATTTATTAACATATTTTATTAAATAAAAAATAACTTTCATTCAATAAGCAGATTGTTGAAGGTCGACCTTACTTCGTATCATAGACTAATAACAGTCCATTTTAATACAAAGGATGCGAGGCTAATTGATCGGCACGAGGATGTGTGGTATACCTTCTCTCTACTTTTGTAATAAAGGTAACTCTGGTCCTTTCCATGGTTCCGTATTATTTGTGGTAGAAATTCCTCTTGTGTCTGCTGAAGCCGTCCACGAAATATTATATCCACACCTGGACACTTAAACGATTCAAAAGTACTCACAGCCCACTTCAAATGATTATTGCTAAGTACTAGTGTGCTACTAGTGTACTAGGTACTAGTGTATTCTAAAACGTGTGTTGCCAGGGAAGTGAATTAGATTAAGAGACAAGTCTTTTTCTCCTTACTCTCCGTGCAGCTTCTCCATGTTTTTTTTAGAACCATAGCTGTATCATCTTTATTTTGCCAGTGCTTTATACAGTTTAGCTGTCGAAAGTATAGAGTTAATATACTTGCAGAATTTATGGAAGCTGTTGCGTTTAGCATTCCTGATTTCTATGTTGTAGGTGGTAATTGCCTCAATCGATTCATTACAAATGAGCCATTTTTATTGCAAAAGCGTAGTCAATAATTGTAATTTTATTGCATCTAAATGCTGTTTGTTTTTTGCTGTAAATGTTCAATACCTTCTTATCTCTAGGTTTCTTGATTATACATTTAACTTCGAAACTAAAATCAAACTGTTGTTATTTCTCTTAAAATAATATTCTGGTAATAATATACCGTAATCCCTTTGGAAAACTTAAATAATTTATATTGAACCTTCCGAAATGCTACCGATAGACAACTTGGTGCTTTATTAATTATTCAGGTTGTTTATATTACATTAAAATATAAATCAAATGTTATCTGTGTAAACGTAAATCAGTTATTTAATTAAACATTGAAATATATTGCTGATGTTTACCTACAATAATTTTATTCGTCTAAACAAATATGGATGATGAAAATATTCGGTTCGGTACAGCAGGAATTGGGTCCAGAAATTACTGATATTATTGAATAATAATCAGCACTTTTTTGGGTTACTGTTATTTCTAAGTTTTCCCTGATTTATATGTGCTGTATTTTTGTAGATGAATAGGAGGTCTTTGTTTCAGTGCAGAATAAATCAATGGTAAAGATATCTTGTATTTTGAACAGAGCGAGAAGAGGTACATGAACTCCTCAATAGTTTAGTTTATTTTTTCGAGGTTAAAAGTTTTAGTTTGCAAAAAAAATTAATATTTCACGAAAAAAAAAAAAAAATTGCAGAAGAATGTTCTACAATTGTACATTTTTTCTGTACAACAGCACACATGCAAGATGAATCTTAAGTTAATACTTTTTTTAACTGTGTTATTATATTGTATTAAAATAAAAAACTTTTTCGAATAACTTTTTCAAAAAAACTCAAATAAGAATCTAACATTAATTTATTCCAAACTGTATCTAATACGGTCCTCTCTAACATAATGTGTAGAACTTTCGTTGAAAAATGTTGATCACATTCATGCCGTTGTAAGAACCATTCACAAAACTGAACTCTGCTTTGGAAATCTTCAAGTTGTAGTGCTTGAATAGGTTGAATGTGAATGGAATATAGTTGATTATTCCGCAATGTTGTCCACGCGTACTTGTTGCATCTTCTTCGATATAATTTAAAATGTGTTCTTCTAAACCAACTTGACTTTAAATTTACTATGTTGAACAATTTAAATTCACTAATTCAGATAAACACGTTACTGAAATCACACTCGACTGAATTACAATAACTGGTACACAATTAATTCGTGATTCATAAAAAAGACTTATTAAAGCGTAACTTTTCATGCACAAGTTCAGTCCCGGATTTGGATTTTTAATTATATATCTTTCTTATTTTTGAGTTTTTTTAAAAAAAAGTTATTTGAAAAAGATACTTCAATGACTACTATAATAATCTATCAATTTAGGTTATACCCTGGATTTCCACAAGTCTACTACTACAACAATATGGTAAAAAATATAGTCACATTTTTTCCGTGTATTGAAGAATAAACTATCTTTAGAGAAAGACAGAACAACTCTATTTTTACATGCAATATAATCATTGTCTTTGATGTCCTGGCTTATTCTAAAGCCAGGGCCTTTCATAAGTTGTAAAATGTATTAGATATTATGAACGATTTTAATTTTGTTTCGTACAGTGTAGGGAATTTTACTAAAATGTTTATTATTTTTATTATACAGGGTTGGGCACAAGAAATTTATTTAAAATGTTCAATAATTTTTTTTTGTCATTAATAATATGATCTAGGCATTTTAACGCGCGAGCTTATTCTTGATAAGATTCGTCGATGAACTGACATCATTTTTTGTTTTTTTTTTTTCAGGCGAGAAGCCCTACAAATGCTCGTGGGACGGTTGCGAATGGAGATTCGCGAGGTCCGACGAACTCACCCGCCATTACCGCAAACACACGGGCGCCAAACCGTTCAAGTGCCGCCATTGTGACCGATGCTTTAGTCGTTCCGATCACTTGGCGCTACACATGAAGCGGCACACCTAGGCGCCGCCGCCTCCCCTCCACCTAGAGGGCGGGGGAAACGGCCCCGCCGCATCACTGCCAGTTACCTACAGATAGTGTAAGTACATTCTTTTAATACGCTTTTATTTTTTGTTATTTTTAATGATTAAATTTATGATCTAAAATCGTGATATAAATAATGTATATATTGGTCAAGATGGATTGTAGTTTATATACAAGAATTTAAGAACACCGATATATCTTTCAACTTAGGATTCCCCACTCGACCATTCACTTTTGGGTACTAATTAACAGTGCTGTTCCTAAAGTGGCGGTCGGAAACAGTAACAAATCCTACACAGAACACGAGGCTAATAACCGTAGCAGTTGATGCCGATGACAAAAAAAAATCTTTTAACTTTTTAGTTTTCCAAAAACGAAACCTTAATTTATCCGTTTAATGAGGCATTTGGAAGAATATTGGTATTAAAAACTATTACTGGTTATTATTCGCGCTCAAAAGCAGCCTATGCACAGATACTCTAGAATAACTACACATGATTACAACGTTGCCAAATATACCCGAAAGGCAAATACTTTTCAAATATTTGTGTTTTCTTTTCGTAATTTGTAGATAGTTTCAGCGGTTAGTTACTGTATTTCAGTTTCAAACTGTCACATTTTCTTGGTTTATTAGGGAACATTATGATCTTCAACTTTTTTTATATGCACGCGTTATCACTTAAATGTAATCAAGGCGTTTAGATTTGTAAACAATTTTACTGCAGGTCAAAATATTATTTAATACCTTCAATTTATATATCTCTTATTAGGGTGGATTCAAACTTCTGAAATTAATCCCAAATTAAAATTGAACAAAATGTAACAACAATAAAATCTTGCTTTTCTTCCTTACTTGCATTTTCGTCTTTCTGCTTTTGTCTTCTCTAACCCCACTTTCCTATCCATTATATCCGTTCAATTTCCTTTGGCCTTTTTCTACATCTACTTCTTTGCTTTCTTTTGTTCTCTTGTCCTTCTGTTATTGAACCATTTTTTAAACTCTGCTCAACTATCTGATCACCTGTTCCTTACCTATATTTTGTAACGTTCTCCTTTCTGCAAATATTTATTTTTTTATATTTTCAACTAAAAATCCTTTTCAACTGTTTAAGTTTCATAATATACATTTCCCAATTTAAACAAAACTTTCTCAGACCGTGCTTAACCAGTACCTGCATTCAAAGTACACGAGTACATTTGAACTTCATCTAACAACAAGACATATTTTAGAAATACATAGCTTCCACCCTTTAAATAGCAACTGTCATCTCGCTTCAACACAGAAGCAACAATACATATTTCTTGCTTTATCTTACCCAATAAAACTAAAAATATTTACTTTGCCCGATGATCTTATTATTGTCTGCCGGAGGAGTTTATTACATAATGAGGTGAGGTAGCTGCGAGCAACGTTTCACCAAGCACAAGTTGCCTTGTAAGTAAATTAAATGGAAGTATTATTCATTGGTGTTTCATTTTATGAATAAGAAGTTTTTAAGGTAAACCCATTACAGTCCTATAGTATCGGGATTAGCCGATTAATTTACAGGGGGCCAAACTCCTCAACATCATCTTTTTTTAAACTTATCCTTTTACCTTTTGTAAACTTTATTTCATCTAACTTCAACCTTTGTTTATAAATTATTTTTTTTTATCTTAAATACTTCCTAAAATTCTGACAATTTAAAAAGTCTTTCTAACAATCCCCAAATCCCAAATGATATTTTTTTCCACAATTAGATATCCGATTTTTAATTTCAAAATACCCTTTTCAGTAATTTAACCACCCCAATATTGATGAACTTCATTTTGATAAATAATATAAAAACCATGACGTATAGTTTTGTCCCCCCAGAAATTTTTATTTGGATTAAAGGTATTTTATTTTTAATTTTTTTTTTAAACAAACCTTCGGCTGCGTAGAAGGGCCACATGTTTTATTATATCGAACAAATAATATGTCCGTCCTGTATGGGAACTAAAGGTCGAACGTTTCGGCATCAACATTTTGTTTACTCCCACTGCCCCTTCGGCCTTCAAGAGTACCTTAAAACTTAATTTAAGATACGATCGTTCATGTAAGGTATTTGGGACCAAAATCTAAGGATTTCCCAATTTCTCCAAGAATAACCTGTAAATATGCCTTAAAAATATCTGGGATTCGAGGATGGTCTTGATAATTCGAAAGGATTTTTGAAAATTGTTTCCGTATTTTTCGATATTAAATTACAATTTTTAATTTTAATTATATTAGGCATATTTATATACATAAGTGAGCGCTGGTATGTTTGATTGTAAATTCTGTTGGATTCGAGAAAATTTCTACAATGCAATCGCCATTTTCTGCACTATACTCGAATCTCTAAATGCCAGACATGGTTCTAGTCTAGTATATTCTAGACTGATAATCGACAGTGACCGGAATCGTCCCATTTCCATAGTCCTCCCATTAGGGTTGGTTTCGGAGGGTTAACTTATTTCTATAAATATTTTTGGTAATCGTACAAGTGGTGGCCGAAATAAGGTAGAGACGGACTTAGGAGATTAGAGCATTACCGGACTGATCAAAAATGGCTCGCACATTTGACCTAGTTGGGCTCGTACAGCAACTGCATAATTGTTTAAAAATTGAGCAGAATATTATTTATTTCGAGCAGAATCATTTCGACCCTACCCTGTATATTTCCTGCAGAACGTAAAAAATGATTTGCTATTAGAAACATTTAATTTTTTTCTGTCTATCGATAAACACGTCAATATTTACATTTTTCTGGCTTATATCATTTCGGTTTCAAAATTCATCCCGTCCTAATTCCAATTTGTTGGTCCAGTCAATCATCCATCGTAAAAGTGATACTCTATTATATTATCCTATCGGACAAACATGATACGATGCGCGTGAATGTAATCTTTGTCGGGTGCTAATTTTAGATATTTCGTAGTTGATGTAAACAGGAATGACGTTTTTTTTGGCGAAATTGATATTTTTTTTTTATTTGTTTTTGATATGGTTTAATCGAAAAGGGGGCTGCAAAAATGCTGGTTATGTGTTGTGTTATCACTGAATCAACATTTTGTTGTTAATTAAATTAGACTATACAGGATGGACCGTACTTAATTTGGGAATACAGAGGATCTCGTAGACCGCAAGATCTACATTGTCAAAAATGTTTTTTATTATGATTAGTAATTCAATGTTTCATAAAGGAAGCATGACAACGAGATATACTGATGTTACATCACAAATTCAACCATTTTCAGTTATTAGTTCTTATTTCCATTTTTTTGTAGAAATAATACCAATATTTAGGATTTCAAAGTATACCAATAAAAAAAAAATAGCGTAAAGTATTCGTGGATAACTGGTCTTTAAAACACTTGCTCTATTTCGAGCACTCCGGCTGCGCCGTCGAAAAATCGCGCTTGTTTTAAAGACCGTCATATCCACTTATACTTTAATATACTATATATTTTTTACTGTAGAATCACCTCATAAATTCTGGACAATTTTGTGTTTCATAATAGCAATTTTTTGTTTTGTTTTCGTTTATATTCAGCCCTCTTTTGCTATCATCTTAAATTATCTCGTCCAGCATTTTTACGTTTGCGTCTTGTTCTTAAAGCACCTTTGTTGACCCTTCTAGTTACGTATTCCAGATAGAGAGCCATCCTGGATCCTGGCGGACGCTTTTGTCTATTTCTATCTCGTCCGCTGCTCCTTTTTGTTTCGAATGCCGAACTCAAAACTAGTTTGTTTCGTTTCATTAAATATGTATGATAGATACTAAAATATGAAATCGATGTACGAGTATGTTGCAGTTTCCATTCAACACGTCGTCAAACGAAAATTTTATGCGCAGTCGCCTGGATGTTAAATATTCAATTTCTTTTTTTTTCTGACTTCAAAAAAGGAAGAAGTTCTCAATTCGTCCGTATATATATTTATGAGCATAAAAGTTTTTTGGATTTTGTAGAAAAATGAAATTAATACTTTTATGTACAAGTTTATTTCGAGCTTTCGGATCCATCTTCGGGGATCTACAATATTTTTTTAAATGACACAGTTAAAAATTTAATGATGAACTATTAATGTTTGTTTACTTACAGTTAGTGAGAATAATGAATTTGACATCAAACGGAAAAATATATTTTAAGATGTCTTATTAAAAAGAAAAGTAAAATTAAAATGTATATGTTACGTTCAATATAAATAACTGGGCAGTATTTATAATGCCCGGGCAATTTAAAAAGTGCCCGAAGGATTGGACAAAATGATAAATTATATAAAAAAATCACATTTCCCAGGCATTATGAATAATGCTGGAAGTCGAGTGGGCAATTTGAGAATATTTTTATTTATATTTGTCTACATACAAAAATAAGAGGATTTATTACATTAAAAACAAATTTTTAAGTAACAAACTGAAAAATCATATTAGGTACCGTATATGCATAAATACATTATACATACAAAATGTAAAATTCTATAGCTTCTATTTATTAGAACAGCTTCCACTTTGGTGACATTTCGAGTTACAAAGCTTTTTTTTTACGACACTTGCACTTGTCAGATTTACAGCCCCCTTTACAGCCGCATCGACTATAGCCTTGGTCCCCATTCTTGGATGACATTCTTGAACATTCCCTCAGTGAAATTTCTGACGGTGGAATTTCTTCGGCATTAATAAATTTTTCATTTCATATTGTAAATTGGTTCCTAGCATAAAGTTGATTTAGGATTCCATGTTTCGTGCCTAATTTATAAAGATTATTATTTCGAGGACAATTGCCAAAATATTTCTTCCATCGGTGCGACCTCTGTCGACATCTGGGACTCGAACTCTAACTGTGTCACCCTTTTTAGCGGTAGGATATTTTGAATTAGAGGTTTGAAGCATTTTTTCAGCTTGTTTTTTTAGATTGCTTGCTGAAATCTCCCTAATTTTTAATATGTCGGCTTTTCTTTTTTTCACATTGGGATCTTCTGAGAAATCTTCATAACCTTCATACACGCGTTTTTCATGACCGGGAACTTGAATTTCAGATGCCCCTGAGACATTTATTTCTCTTTTGTTATTACTGAAATCAGAGCTTGGTTCAGATAACGAAGTTGATGGTTGAACATAACTATCAAGAGAAGATATTTCCCCCTCGCATTGTTGACTTGGACCTACTTCCGCTAAAGAATTTCACCCTAGTTTATTTTGCAGTGCACCTTCTTCTGTAGACTCTAAATTGTTTTGATCTTTTACTATTGCTTCCAAGTCCTCTTCAGAATTTATATTAGGCAGAACGTCATCAGGAAAAAAAATTTTTAGACCAATTTTTAACTTTGTTCCAAACATGGCCTCATACGGAGACAGTTTATGCCACTATGATGAGCTCTGTTTTTCATAAGTTGAACAAAACGTAAGCCCACTGACCATTTCTTGCTGTTATTGTCTTCTAGCCACGAACAAAGCATATTTTCCACGTCCTGATTCGCACGTTCGACGGAGCCCTGACTTTGAGAATGTCTGGGCTTCCCATGTACCATCTTTAATTCGGGCCACATGGTACATAGTACTATTGGCAAATTCTCTGCCATTATCACTCTGCAAAATAGTGGGCGCACCAAAAATGGTGAAAATATCCAATACCACATAAGTTACTTCTTCTGCTCTTTTGCTTTTAAGATGTCGAAGTTGAACAAATTTAGTTAAATGATCTTGGTATACAAGTATGAATTTATATTGATCATCAGCTTGCGACTGCATGTTGATTAAATCGACTTGACATCTTGAGTTCATGTTTTTTCTTAGTATCGGCCTAACAACTAAACCTTTTCTTGGTACACTGTGTTTTTTTTTCGCAGGTCATACATAAATTTAGATAGATTACAATCATTTCCCTTGTGATGTTTTTATACTTTAAATTGATCTCTTTTTCCATGCGGTTTCGACCACCGTGCCCAATAGAAATATGTGCATCATGTAAATGTTGAAATATCTCTTCCCGATGTACGTAAAACCTAATCTGCTCTTTACTTTCCTCTACAGGAACTATCAGCTTTTCCTTCTCTCCAATAGTCATTACGTCAAACCTGCGTAAACGCTGATAATCCTCGGATTTTTTATTTACGACTTTGTTTTTAGATGTTTTAACCTTTTCTATTAATTCCAAGTATTGAGGTTTTGTGAGAATTTGTGTATTCTGACCTTTTGATGAACACAATTCATTTAGCCGTTCGTCGAAACGATTTTTCATCTCACTTACATCAGTTAATAATAACTGTTTTTGCATTTTATTTTATAGCAAAATCACTAACACTAAAAACAAAACGATAAAGTCACTTTATGACAAAATTCCTTAAATATTCGTGGCACAATTATTAACAGCCCAGCAAAGAATTGAAAACAATCGAGAACGAGAACTCATTAACGCGCAAGATGGACAAGCGACAAGCCATCAAAAAAGGATGCTGATTGGCCAGTGAGAATCACACTATACGCTCGTTGCCAAATTGCTTAAAATTAATCAAAGTGCCCAAAAAATAATAGCAGTATTTATAATGACCGGGCAGTGTAATAAATTATTATAGACAAATACAAAATTATTAAATGGCCCGTCTGTATTGGGCATTTTATAAATTGCCCGGCCATTATGAATAATGCCTGGAATAATCAAATTGCAACTGTGCTCAAATGATTTTTTTTTATACCAGAAATATATTTTTTTACAACATATTGATCTGGATAACACAAAATTCACATCTTTTAAGTTGTAGTATTGATTTAGCACAGCTATATAAACTCCAATAATAAACATTCAATGTTTTTGGGAAGTTTTTAATAAATTAAAAAAGAAAAACATGAATAATGTAATATTTTTGTTTAGTTTGTTTCTATTTAATATAATCGTAGTTCATTAGTGATTCAGAGCAAATAACGTTCTTTTTATAAAATAAAATTCACTCAATATCCAAACATTTACTATATCTTTTCATTTCGGCTTTAAAATCAAAAACTGTTTTCAAAACCAAGGTAAGTCACCATTATTCTTGTTTAGTGATTTTACAAGATCAAAATATATAATAAATATTAAACTCAACAAACTTACATTAACAGTTAGCTTTGCATTTTCATTTATATAATTAGATTTATGTAAATGACAAAGCAGTTCCTATAAATTATTGACTTTTGCCCTTAACCTGTTCTGGGCACGAAGACTAACTATTTTATGTTTTTGGCTCTGAACAGTTTTCTTAACAATTTTAAAACCTTTCTTTGCTCTTTTGGCAGACTCCATATCATTAGCATCTCTTTGAGGTTTATTTTGTTTAAACCTGAAATTAATTTATATGAAAATTTTAACAATACAAAAAATGAGTCGTAAAAAAATGGCATTGGCTTTTTCCTTGAATATAAAAAAATTGAAAATTCGATTACCTTTTAGTTCTTAGTGATCCTGTTGGTTGTGAAATATAATTTCTTGATGATTCAGAAGGTGGAAAAAATTAAAAAATAACAAATTACTTAGGTGGGTACTATTAGTGTAAAAAACAACCTTTTTGAAAGTTTCTCTGCTTCCCTTGCTGTTTTAGTAGCCGATGCATATGGCGAGAGAGTAGTGACAGGATTGCTTATTATATTTATCTCGTTGAAATTTACTGAAATTGCATATTTGATATTTGTCTAATATTTTCCTCCTCTGAGGTGTGTAATAAATATTTTCATTATTAAAATGATCAGAGCATAAAAATTACTCGGGTGACCACTTGTTGAAATCCTAAATTTTGGAATCATTTATATCTTTTTTTTATATCAAGAAAAGAAAACCTAGAATAGAAAAATAACAATAAACTTTACAAATATGTGATATTAAAATTAAGCCACAGTTTTGAATTTTCCTTATTTATGTTAATGAGAAATTAACCTTTACTCTTCTAATCATGATCATTATAAATGGGTTTTATTCCCTCCCAAAAATTGACATGTTTCAGAAAGTGTCAAAACTGGCGCTGTCAAACTTGTCAACAGTGATTGAAAAGACAATTAAAATCTAGGGATTTCTCCCCTCGGAGGAAGTAAATGTTGATTACAAAATAAATAGAAAAATTGTTTTAAAACTTTCAAATCTTAATCGCTGCACATTCAACAAAATTTCCTCGTTGCTATTTCTGTGCTGCGAATTAGCAGAAATCTTGCATGGATTAGTAATTTATTTAATAACAATAACGCAGATCGGTAAACAACCATGAAATCATCGAGGATTGTTTACTAACAGCGTCAATAACAATTTTATTTTACGATCGAATCGGAATTGTAATTCAAAAATGAAAAAAGAATTATAAAACGTGACTAATGATGAGTTCACCTGAGCATTATCGTTGGCTTCATAGATTGACCTAATGCGCTAAATATTCTAAAAATTAAGTAATACGTTATTTTTTTTACATTTTTCCATTGCGCGGGTGTAAATGAAATGTCTGTCTTTGTTTAAATGCTAATCGATGAATTTCATTGTCATTACGTAATTCGAATTTTTTTAAAAGGAATGTATTTTTTTAAAAGGATCTTGCAATGTCAACAAATTAATTTTTATATATTTAATTTTTAAATACTGTTTAGTGAAAGTGACAGCAATTTAATTTTAAATTAATTAACCTCGTCATTTTAAATCTCTAAAATACAAATTTTGACTTTTTCGTCATGTAGTTTTAAAATCAGACGATATATTCTACTGCGGTTTTCATAAACATGTTTCTAATAAATCATTTTTAAACATTTGTTCAGAATTTTACACTTTTAATCTGGGTAATGTTTGAAGTTAACCATCTCCCTTTTTAAATCTCTAATATTCGTATTCTGATAACATTTATGAATAGTTACCTATGTCTAAAACTTTAAACATAGAAATGTCAATTCAGGGAAAGGGCAGACTGATTTTTCAACCACATTTTGAATGGTTAATGTGATTAGCAAAAAAGGGATCAATATGCGGTAAAATTGCAAATTTTGATGTCAAGTTATCACTTTCAGTAGAGGTAAAAGTACTTTTATTCACCTGCCAATAGCAATGTTTTTTATTCTACGATCAATAGTAACGCCTTTAACCTCGCCAAATTGGTAGTAAAATTTTAGCTTTTCTGACGCTTTCAGGAAAAGTAAATTGCTATCTCTATCACCAATAATTTAAAAAAAAATATTAGGTTTGTTCTAAATAGTCTGTTTCTACAAAGCCATGGATAATCCGATGACTCTCAGTAAAACGCTCCAACGTCTTTTCTGATTTGTATATGAATATGTCGGCGGATTGTCAAATCCATCAGTGGTTCATCATTTGTACAATTTATCAGCACTGGCGTTTTTGAGCGTCTCTTCTCGTTCGTGCAATTTGTATGTTATTGGTATGATTTTAAGTTAGCTTGGTTTCTTATGCCAATTGAAAAATACAATCATCGAGTGTGTGCCTCCTCGTGACACCGCTGGATACGTGAATATTGCTGCTCTATAAACAACACTATTAACTAAATGAATGGCACTCCATCAATAACTCGAGCCAAAGTGTAAGACAACGTGCTGGAGGCTGAATGGCCACTGGGAAAGCGGTTGAGAACGTTCCTCTGGAGGCATGACGGGAATAACACCACACCACCACAAAATAAAGAAAAGAAAAGGAAAGTGGCCGCTACCTCCGCTTCTGGCAGTTATGCAACTGTCGTCAAGACGGAGCGGGTCGCGATCCTACCTAAGGTGTTCCCTGAAACTATCTTCAATGCGAACAAACAAACCCTGATGGAAGAAGCCACAGTAGAAGAGATGTTTGCTGGATGGGAGAATAAGCTCCCATTCGGAGATATCCACTTCCTGCCAGTACTCGTCCTAATCGACTGTGAAACCCCACAGTCAGCAGAATGGCTTAGGGCAAAAATCCCACATCTGAGCAAGGGAGTAGAGTTGGAGGTATATGCGGAAGACGAGATCCCGAAAGCACATACAGCCACGCTCTTTCTCCCAAGAAGTCAAGGGCAGCCTGTAGAGAGGCTTCTACAGTTAATGAAAGCACAGAATGTGTCAGCCAAAAAGACGAGGGCAAAGGCCAGATCCTTAGGTTAGGAATGACTATCCTACCAAAGGATCAAGCATAATGGATACACTATCCTGTCGATTCGAGAAAATTCCCGTACACAGCCTTCAAAAGAAAGACAAAATAATGAAACTGGGAGAAGACACAGAACCAACTTCTAGTATTTCTAAAGATGAGACTGATGTAGAGAGCATACAGAGCCCTAACCTCTTAAATTTTTGGGTAGACTCATCTGAGGATACAGAAATATATAAAGAAGTAGATGAGGGGGATATGGAACACACCCTCGCCGATGGAGACGGCACCCCCATTAAAGGAGAGTAAAATGGCGGGCATAGAAATCGCCCAAGTGAATGTCTATCACGCCAAGGGAGCCTCGGCTGTGATCTCCAGGACATTCACTAAAGATCAATTAGGGATCGTATTGATCCAGGAACCATGGGACTACGGGAACCAGGTAAGAGGACTTGCATATAAGAATGCAAGGATAATTTATCACACACGTGATGAAGTACCCAGAACATGCATAATGGTATGAAATATTCTTGCCTTTCAGAAATTATGACGCGTGATCTCGTCCCAATTCGAATATACCTGGAATTTGGGATGAGACAGCAAGACATAGTAATAGCTTCTAGTTACTTCGCCGGAGATGGGCCTGTACCACCTCCGGACGTATCGAGGCTACCAGAGAAGACATCTGCCATTACTTCTTGCATGCGACGCCAACGCGCACAGTACCGTATGGGGAAGCAACGACACTAATCAAAGAGGTGAACTTTTAGAATATATTTTTAATAAGAATCTTATTGTGCAAAATATTTGGAATACTCTAACATTTGTAACAAAGGCAAGAAGTGAGGTATTAGATATCACATTAAATACTCGAGGATTGAAGATCTAGTTACAAACTGAAGAGTATCGAGTGAACCATCTATATCTGATGATCACAAGATAATTGTGTTTACGTTAGACAGCGACATTCCTGAGACGATCCTCAGAAAAACAATCTGGGACAAATACAACACCATTATAGAACAAAATTTAGCACGTATCCAGACAAAAAGGGGCCCAGGCACCCACTTGCTCTGGAAAGCGATCTCGAAGAACCAAATGGGGCAATACTTGTTGAGGCATATGAATCAAGTTGCCTCATTTAAATAAATAGAACTAGTAGGGATGCTTCTTGGCGGAACCGTCATCTGTCAAACTTC